ATGACCAAGATTTTGGTCGCTGAGTTCTTTAGCTGTAATCTTTACTGAGAAGAAATTTGCTTTTGTGTTTTATAATCAGTTCTTTATGTAGTCACATAACACCTTAATAGACATTACTATTAATACCTTTTTGGAAGGTTAGGTACAAACTTTTTCAGGTTATATGTGCTTTTACTGGATTAATCGGATTTTATATATTATGAGTTTATTTTGTTATCACAATGGTTTTCTAAAAATTAAACAAAAATAATGTGCCAATACATTCAAAATTGTGAGAGAGTGGTACCTTATGTAGGATTGTGCTAGTACTCACCTATAGTACGGGTAAGCAAGCTCCTCCTGCTGGTAAGTACTTCGATCTATTAGGTACTAAATTTTCCTTAGGATACAAGTTTATAAAATAGAAATTAGATTTACTTAACTTAAAGAATAAATATGAAATCTACCAAAGTTTTGGATAAGCCAGAAGTTTGAAGAGTGCTTGTATAGATTATAATATATAATAGTGTATAATCATGTCTGCAGCGTGGGAGTATTTTGCTAATTTGAAATATATATTAATATAGTTTCTTAGAATCTCTTAGAAGCAAGCGTATATTTGTTATAGATATAATTTATTATTATAGAACAATTTGCAATAAAAAAGTCAATATACATTTCTGTAAATATGATTAAATCAAATACAATATTTGTAGAAATTTAATTTATTATAGATCTCGTATATTAAAAATTAAGCGTCTGTTTAACGTACAATATTAACATATATTAACATATTTATCATATTTTACCATGGTCATTTTGTGGCCATATCTAATTTAAGTACTACCATTGAATATTCATATACAGTCATAAAGGCTTATCACAGTAAAATTAATTGTAAGTAAATAAATATTAACACTGCGATATCCCGTAAGATTGGTAGGCTCAACAATCTTCCGGCAACTAGTTTTACTACTAAAATATTATTATTAGATCTTAAGTTGACGTTCTAGAAGATAACTAACATAATTATGTTATAATTTTATTTAAAGCTAAGATGGCGAACTAGCATACGACCTCCACGATAGTAAACGCTTAGGAATAGAGTAAATTAATACTTAAACTATTATGGAGCTGAATTCATTCTTAAGGGAAGATTACGGTAGGGGTGCTTTGGATCTAAATAGTATTAATTTACAAATTGATTATATAAGTTTAAAGGTAACAACAGATGGCTCTTTATAATGTTTTTGAAGGTATACACACTAAGCCAGCGCATGGCCTAACTTTTTTTTATAATACGAGAAATCGCCAAAAATAGGATATTTTTCATATTATTATAGGTTTGATATCTCTATTGTACTAAAGAGTAAAATAATAAAACTTCAAATTGTTATCAAAAATAATTACAGAGTTGCCGGAATAAATTGCTAACAGAGTCAATAAAGAATTTTTATTTTAAAACTAATTTTCATCGATTTTTAAAATCGTTTCTCATAGATTACAATTTTAGTGTTGAACCAAAGTCTTGACATCCTTCAATTCAAAAGGGATGAAAAAGAAGAGAAAAAACAAAAATCAAATTAAAATAAAGAAGAGTTATTTAACTGTACTGATCCTTCAATCTTTTCTGACAGTACTTTTTAACGTCAATTAAGAACACCTCAAAGGTGGGCTGTTGCAACCATTTGGCATTTTCTAATACTGATACACTTTAATACTTAGAACATAGTCAAGTGTATATTAAAATCAATCTTCAATGATGAATATACATAATTAAACGATGGCCCAGATCTGAAACGTCACAAGTACAAGAAACAAGCGAACTCATCCATTAAATAAATCAAATACTCCAACCAATTAATTAATTTTATATATTCAGCTGTACTTTATCTTGTATGCTATCTGGGTTGTTAATTGCAACATGGCAGATTGAATCTTGCGGCTCAGAGCGCATGCGCGGCGTTCATATTTGTTGTAATTTTCACGTCATTATGAATAACCTAGCGTTGGAGGTTGTTGAAAGCATGCATAGAATAAACAGCAGATATGATAATGGGACACTTTCATTTAAATATATTTGATTCACATCATTTTCATTTGGCTACCATATATCAATAATCAAATATTACAGATATGCTAATTCAGTGTCGCAAAGTAGTTAATTAAATTCTACCTAATACTTTATGAGAACAAACAGGCTTTTCATTTTGTCCTTAGTTTATTCAAGTTTGATACGTTTTATAATCTAATAAGAAGTTACCGTTAAGTTCGCCTCCAAATTTATTGAAACTAACTTTTAACACCGGCTTCGCTTGCATCAATCATTGAGTAATATCAAACAAAACTTTAGTAGTAACATATGGATACTTCAAACACAGCTACCGTTACTAAAACACATTAAACATCAAATCACATGTATTCGATTATGTTTGATTAAAATATCTGAAGAATTGCATTTATTTTATTTTATGTCTATTCAAATACATTCAATGTTCAATTAAGTTAACACTATACCAATAAAAACTTAATTAATTTAGTCACGACTAAACTCTTAACGTAATTTATCAAATTGTAAATCAATTAATCATTTTATCTAGTCAATATTATAATATATGTTTACTATATTTGGGAACTGTATACGCTCTCACCCTACAGTAGAAATCAAATTATTTTGACTAATCAATCTTCTAGAATTTCAAATAACTTTCATTCGTCTACGGAGGTTTTAGTATAAAGTACTTGTTTTTACTAACAGTCTTTTGCTCAATATTACTTGAAAGAACAGGTTTAAATATTGTATCCGAAAACTGTGTATTTTTGATATAATATTTTGGAAAACAAACTATGCATTCTAAATAAAAGAGGAACTCTTAAACTTTAGAGCCAAACGAGCAGACGAGTCTTGATAGTAAGTGACTACCTCTGACCATAGACACCTGTAACTTAAGTTTTTTATATATACCTTACACATCGCACACAAGGCCATCTGATCCCAAACTAGGCAAAGCCTGTGCTAATTGTTTAAATTGTTAATAACATCGCTGAGTCTTAGTTACTCCAATAAGTAATTAAATTAAATTTAAATTTTATGGTAACCAGACTGCTGATAAACATACTTATATATTTGTAAATACATACCTATTATAGATAAATTACACCCAGACACAAAAGAAATGACCGTGCTCATCACACAATAATTTTCCTGGATGGGAATCAAACCCACGACCTCGGGCTTAGCAGTCAGGATCACTAAACACTAGACCAACAGGGCCGTCAGGACACTAGACCAAGTGTCCCAAGTGCGTTTCCGCTTTCCCAAAAGTAGGAAGGCGGGAGAGGGGGAGGGGGCTGGTGGAGATTAGGGCTTCTGCAACCTCACTCACTAGGTTTCTGTGAGGTTGTGGTATCAGCCCATACGGCCGAAGCATTGCTCTCCATTGGTTAAAGTTGTTTCATAGTTACGATAGCACAGATAATGTTCTACATACAAAGGTTTCTACCTTTACTTTTTACGGTACATTTTAGTCTTTGCCGTTTCGGATTAGAGAAGTGCACCAGCAATTTTCATCGCGTTTATGATAATGCAGTTACGAGTATTGCGCTCAGAACATTTTACTACTAATGCCTTTTGATATGAATGACTGTTATCTTTAATTGAAATCTGGTCTTTAGAAAGTTTAATATATGGTTGTAGGTCTTTTTCCGTTGTAGCTTATGTAATGAGATCTTGTTTTGTACTCACGTGTATGTAATAAGTTCTATCATCAGGTTTAACAGGCAGATTAAGTACGATTTAAGTTAATTTCTAACTTTTTACACGCTTTATATTAGCTCCACTTATATGTTTGTCTGTAGGTTTGTAACCGAATCCTTTGGGCGTGATTTTGACTGACTTTAAACGGTCAGAATTCGTTCAAACTTTGTAGATATATCGAGGACCGATGACAATACACTAATTTAAAAAAAAAATGAAAAAAATTATAGTTTTAAAAAACTATAATTTTTTTCAGTATTAATTTAACATCAATTGGTAGATTAAATTGTATGTTGTAGGCTCTTTTATTTTATTATTCTATAAATGTAATGACTTTTATAATTAAGTTTTTTTTTTAAAGACAACTTCTGCATTAGGAGAATGTCTTGTGTGGCGGGGGACTTTATAAACATATATGAAATGGACACAAAGAACACCTAGACTCAGCAAAACAATTTGTGGATTACACAAAGTAGCGTAGTAGTAAGCGGCGTGGCGACCGCTTAAACCACTACGCCATCCGTGCAGTCATAGTAGGTATATATTTAGGCGTATCAGTTACTTCACCAATCGTCTACCAAGACCGCGTCATGTGCTGTTTGTCAAATACGTTAAAATATATAATTTAGTTTATTTTTAACCGACTTCAAAAAGGAGGAGGTTATCAATTCGGATGTTTATTTATTTTTTCATAATTTATATTTTTATTTCGATGATATGTATTTTCAATATTTTTATAAGTTAGTTAGAAAGGGGTTTATTTCGAAATAAACTCATTTAAATTTTATATAGATCTGATGATGAGTTTCGGAGAGAGACAACAAAAAGTGACAGCTAATCAACCGCGATTGCTGCGAGTTTTTATGTGTTTGAAGTCGGTTTAACTTTTTTTTAAGAAACATTTTCTTTTCATTATTTGAAAAACCTAGTAAAAACCCAGTCTAAAATTAATGATCCTAACTGCTCAGCCAAAGTGTAGGTTGTGGGTTCCCAAAAATAATTAATGTATGTGAGAAGCGCTATATATGTGTTCTGTGTCTGGTTGTTATTTATCGAAAATTTGTTTTTAGTAATATATAAGTAGTAAGCAGTCTGCTTACTTTAGGATCTGATGGACCTATGTGAAATGTCTTACATTATTAAATACGAATTATATTAACTTATTAAAGAGTAAACTCTCGGAGTTAATGATAAACCAATGAGCCAACCAACCATTCTAACCATTAGGTATTAGATACTAAATAAATATTTCATTTGTACGCAGATCCGACATCGGTTTGGTCTTTTCGATGAAGTCTGCACCTCTGGTGGCGCCCAGGTCCGCCATTGCAACTGGGTTCGATTTCTGCGTGTGTCAGACAACTATGGACCTCAAGTAAGTTATTTATTAAATAAATTACGTTTAACATTTTATTATTTTCTTTAATATTACTAATGATAATTGAATCTATCAGGTAAACCTAGTGTGCACGAAGGTGAAGGGAGAGCCAGTTTATGAAGCAGTGAAGCCAGTATCTGCCCACACGGAACTGGTTGTCTACTACTTGCCTGAAAGACCCGAAGAGATGTTCTTTGTGAAGATGAGGAATAACCTGTATAGACAAACGATGGACTCAATATTAGAAGGTACGACTTTAAGGAATTTGAAGACCTAGAATATAATCCATCGCTGCACTTCAGTAATGGGCAAAATTCTGGGTATTGATTCATAAAAATGAAATAATAAAATGTTGACAACCCTGTCCATCTCATATTGAATTTATCCGCCTCATTCGTCACTAAAAATATAAGAGTATTGTCCCTGTGCTCCAAAAATAATTTCCCAGCTTTAAGTTAAATAAAAAAAAACCTCGTTATGCCTCCGCTTTTACTAGTTGCTAAAACAAAATAATTATTCTCATAATATATTATATGACAGTATAAAGTATACACAATATTTACGTAAGCTTTTAATGGCCCTCTTATTTTTAATCTCACATACTCTCTTAAGCTGTAATTCTCGCAACGCCATCGCAACTAGCTCTGGTGAAAGTGGATCATCTTACGTCAAAAATAGTCACGTACGCAATTACTGTTTAAATATGTATCAAATAGTTTTATTCAAAATGGCTTCCTTGTGCATATTTTTAAAATAATATTATAGATACCTATTACTTTATGTAACACTCATTATTCTGTCTGCCATTTTTCATCATCTTTGTGCCCTTTGCCCATATTTGCCCTTACTTACGTCTGCCTTTCATCAGTATACTACTTACACTTCTAGCTACGATTTTCAACTTTTCTTTGGTCGTCCTCTTATCTGGCATTACTCAACTTCCATACAATAAACTCTTTTCGCCACATTTTGTACATCTCTTCGCATCACACATGTCCATAGCGTTTCAATTTTTCTTTAATTAGCACTTCTTTCAGACTGAATTTTTATTTTAAAATTATTTTATATTTATGATTAAAAATCATTTTGTACATATACGTATAAAGTATACTTCACACTACAGTTAAAAAAATAGAATACCTATTTTCTGCCTTAATAAATTTATATTTCTTACCTCATAGATAATTTTTTAATATAATATGGTGATTAATACTGGATTGGTTAGTTCTTGGATATATTTATCATCATCATCATCATCATCATCAACAGCCTTTAATAGTCCACTGCTGGACATAAGCCTCTCCTTAGAATGGAGGTTTTGGCCTACTATACCACGCTGGCCAGACGGGTTGGTATAGGGTTTGTGTCAAGTTTTCCTTCTCTCTGCAGTGTTGTTGTTCTGCGTAGTTTTTTCCCTTAGTTGACTCTTACAACACCCACGGAATGAATAGGGGTGGTGACAATCTGTATTCTTAATCCGTCACCACACGGACGATATTTATAATGTTTCAATATTCATAGTATCAAAACCAATATTTAGACAAAAAAGTAATTAATTGGGTGAGAACAAGGTCTTTATTTATATTTATTACAATTTATTATTAGCTCAAGTGTTTTAAGAGAATACCAATTCAAATTATATTGAATTACAGAGTCATTAAGTCCTAATTTGTTCTGGATTTATAGTCTTAAATATAAGATTTTAAACGAATGTCTTTTATTGATAAATAGTGACTGTGGTTTTGCACGCTTTAAAGTTATTATTCCATGGGTATAAAATATATCTTATATTCTTTTCCGTGTCTCTGACACTGTATATACAATATTTTATGATAATAAGTTGAGTTCTTAGGACGTAAACACGTAACAAACAAAATCATAGCAAACATTTACTTACGAAATGAAGATATTAGTTGAGAATTCATTTAACAAAGTAATATAGTGATTGACACATAGGCCGTGTGACGATACAACATGTGGTTTTCTGTAGTCGATTTAAACCTTTACAATTTGTCACTGGTTTAAGGTGACGCAGGGGTTTCTACACTTTCGAAAAAAGTTAGGGAATTTTACGATTTCACTAATACTGATTAAGCAATTATAGGTTAGCACGTTAATATGGTGGGTAAACTAGTGTGTTTCTCGAGAATTTGTTGTGTAACCAACAAATTCTCGTCAATTTCAATCGTCAATTTGAATTAGGTTTGTTGTCCACATTATTAAGGCAGAAAAATTATGCAGAAAAATAGCAGTTTTATAATTGTTCGGGCTTTCATTATTTTGTGTTTTCTAAGCTCCTAGCATACTATATTATACTGTTTTATGTAATTAAATGATAATATAACTCAGATAATAAGATTTATTAAACGCAATAATATACAATTGTATATGGTAGTGTGGGTGCTCACACATTGATAATGAACTTTTTACACATTAGACCATCATTAGCGATTGTGAATAGGAGCCGTTTTATTAGCGATAAAAGTAAGTTAATCTATATCCTCTAGCATTTTAACTAGAAATTCATTTTCACATGTCACAGATCAAATAGCAGTAAAACCGGACCTAGTTTTAATTTTTATTTCTTGGTCTATTAGCAACTCTGTTTACTAGATTAACTTTTCAAAGAATGTTATAATTATGCTATTAAATTGTCATAAAATTGGAATGTTCACAGAAGTGATAATGCTGTCAAGGATGTATAAAATATTATTGCACAAACTAGCTGTATTACTGGTTGGACACAATTTAGTAGTTAATATCGTATTTTAGGGTATACATATATATTTAGATTAAACCTGTTTGTCTAAAAGTATATTTCGGAAAAATCAAAACGGAATATTTAAACGTCACGTTAATGGCAGAAGTGCAAAAGACTAACATTTTATTCCTTACATTTTAGTAAATAAATAACATACTTTTATTGTACTTTTTTATATTAAACTAAGCATCATTTTCATTTGTGTAGTTTTACGTTCAAGTTAATTTAAGTGCAAGCCACCATCGCCTTATTATAGTAATGCATTAAAAAGCTATGGAATTTAAAATGGCGTATTTTATGCATAAAAAGTTCTTACAGAGAGTTTAAAACAGTACATTGTATCAAGACTCATCGGGTTTAGAGCAGGAATGCCTAAGTGTAAATATCATCACCCCAGTTTTCTCAGAGCTTGTCTATATTACTCTATAAAATTTTGTTTGCCTTTTACGTGCTATATTTACTACTAATTAAAACGGAGCAACTTTATTAACTTATAATACGAAAGATTAAGTGTTATGCATGTATATGTATACAGTAAATTACCTCTTACCTTTCTATTTTAATACAAATTTTTGGTAATTGTGAAGTCAGGGCTTGTAGAGTTTAGGCGTGAGAAGGTAAGAAGTTTGGCTCTATATAGGAGAGCATTTTTGACAGTGAGAGCCATATGGCCTTTTCTTGGCAATATTCTTTTAATAGTATTGGGATAAAATATTCTTTTAAGATAGAAGGAAATACCTAATTTCCGAAAAAAAATAAGTTGCTTATGACAATATATTATTTATAACAAGGAGTCTGTATTATATCCACTTTTAGAGCTCTAGCATCATAATTTGGGGAAGTCAAAGTCGCACAAAGTTTCGTTCCCTAGTTTAAGGGGTTGGAGGGTTGTTTGTGTACTAGTACTAGCTTAAATATCAAATTTCAGCTTTCTAGGGCTTAAGAAAGTACCCTAAAAATTTTGACGATCATCAGGGGTTTTTTAGATATCAATAAAATCTATAGAGTAAAATCTATGCAATTAAAGTTTATACGTTAAATAAGACTACTGACATTATATCCTGAAAATGTTGTTTATAATCCAAACCCAAGTTATAAGGATTCAAAAACACTTCGAGAAAAGGGAGGTAGTGCCCTTGCGCTTCACTTTGTCCTCTAATGTATTCTACATTATTCTTTCTTGATACTCATATCGGAGCAAGGAAGTGGTTATACAACCTGTTTGATAGTATTTCATTAAGGTGCTATACGGAGCATCCGTAGCCAGGATCATGAACCAACTTTTATGCTCGAGATTAACAATGTAATTGTAAAGGTGAGGTTCTTTAAAAAGCCGCTGCATCATTTAAAGCGCAGATTTATTGTAGTAGAAGTGGAAAAGTAGTGTTAGAAATAAAATGATTAAACAAAAACGACATACATAAACATTTGTGTCACATTTATGCAAAAATAAACAACAATTTTGTTTATCTTTGTATAAATCTGGCAAGTGTCATTCCTACGATGCACTTTTTCTTGATTGTTAATATTATGTTCAAATTTATCTTAATATGTTTATAACTTAATACGGAGCCTGCCAAGTTTAAGCGCTTTGTTTAATTTGAAAATCAAACATTCTTAGGGTTACGTACCTCAAAAGGTAAAAACGAAACCCTTATAGGATCACTTTCTTGTCCGTCTGTCTGTCAAGACCCTTTATCTCGGTAACGGTTTTAGTTATCGAGTTGAAATTAAAGCCATATACTCAAGCCTACAATCCCTTAAAGCTTTAGCAAACTTTAACACGCTCAAGGGAATCTAAATTAATAGGGTAGTTCCCGTTGACCTAAAAATATGCAATTTGGCAAGTAACATTGTCTTATTCTACAAATATAGGAAAAAAATTGAAAACTGTAATAATAATAATAATACGAATAAATAACTAGCAACACTGAAAACAGTCGACATTTCTTTTACATATTTTCGAAACAAATAGATTTTACAACAATTTACAATATCGTAAAATAAGCCAAACAAATTAAAGAACAATAAAATGGATGCTTTATATAAAAATATCATTAAAAATGTTTAAAATAGATAAACCAAAAATAAATAAAGTATATGCATATAGACATGACGTCTAACGTCATGTCAAAATACATGAAAGTATTTTTCCACCCAAGAAAGACTGTAGAATGATAACAAGAGCTAGGTCGAAAGCACAATTAACATCCCCGGACTCGTCGCTCCGCTCCGTCTTGCCGTCCACGGAAACCACAACAGAAGCTCCGGCCGTGGCTGAGGCGTCGAGCTCGACTTCAAGTGACGAGTTTTTCTCTCCGCCGACGTCGCCAACACCTGTACGTCGGCAGGGGAGAGGCCGGCCACCGATCTGCTTAGGATCCCGAGGACCATTGACCTCGAATAGGGTCCCCGCTACCGGTGGTAATGTGCGCCGCATGAAGTGGACAAATTCTATCAATGAGAATGTCATGCGGGCATATTATC